TTTCTTCTTGAATCACCTGAAGGGCCAGAACTGTGGAAGGATCTGGAAATGCAAATTGCAGCTTCTGGTTTGGCCTCAGTCATTTTACTGGCTCTGTAACCTTATGTTGGTCATTTATACTCTCTGGAATTCAGTTTATCTGTAAATGAAGAGTTTGAACAAAAGAATACCAAGCATTGACTTCATTTAGAAAAATAGAAATCATGTACTTTGCTATACTTTGCTCAATGACGCTAAAAAGTAAACTTTAAAATATTTGAAGATGAGGTTGGTCTGAGTTGTGTGTGTGTGTGTGTGTGTGTGTGTGTGTGTTAAAAGGCTCTTAGTTCACTTTCTGTTTCTTTAACAGAGTACCTGAGACTTGGTAATATATAAAGAAGAGAGGTTTATTTGGCTTATCATTCTGTGGTTTGAGAATTCCGGGAATATGTCCTGAACATTTTTATAACGTAGAGGAAGCTCAGAAGTATGTGGGTGAGAGTTCCCTTTTTAAGAACTCACTCCCAAGTCAGCACTAACTCATTACTTGAGTGGCACGTCTTTAATATGCAACTTGTGATGTGAACACCTCTTACAAGTTCTATTTCTTAATGCTATCACTTTGGAAATTAACTTTTTAATTAAAATTTTACAAACTTCATACAATATATTTTGATCATATTTAGATCGTCTCTCCTGTCTACAGCCCCCTTACCACCCTGCCCAGTGTCGTGCACTCCATTTTGTACATATGAAGGCCTATCAAGTCAAATTTGGGTCCACAAGTGCCCTATATGGGTCCATCTACTGGAGCCTGGTTAATCTACCCAGACTCACACCCTTTAAGAAGACTGATTTTCCCTGTCCTCCTAAAAGCTATCAATTGCCAATAGTTCCTCAGACAGGATTGAGGTTTCTTACCCATTTCCTTACTTCTGTGCTGGTATTTTGTCTGACTTGAGGTTACAGGGATCTTCTGCATGCTGTGAGTTCATATGTGTTGCTGACCAGCTGTTGGGAAAACTTTGTTTCCTTGTAGTCCTCCTCTTCCTCTGCCTCTTAAAGTCTTTCCGTGCCCTCTTCTGCAATGCTTCCTGAGCCCTGGGAGGCATATTTAGTCTTATTTAGGGATAAACATTCCGCAGTCTTTTATTCTCTGTATGTTGTCCAGTTGTGGGTCTCTGTGTTAATTGCCATTTGCTACATGAGGAAACTTCTCTGCTGAGAGTTGAGAGATACATTAAACTATGGGTATAACAATAAGTCATTAGGAGTCAGTTTAATACTATGTCCATTTGGCAGAATAATATTAGTAAGCTCTCTCCTATGACCTGTGTCCTGCCTAATCACAGGTTCCTAAGCCTGTTGTCTGTGTCAGGTATGGGGTGCATTTTGGGAAGAAGATCTCAAATCCTATCAGAAAATTGTTGGTTACTCTACAGTGCACTCACCACTAATGATGGACATATCATCATTAGTGATGACTTTTACATAGTTTTCTTTAAACAGTGTTGTTTCCTAAGACAACGTATGAGTGTTGGAAAATATGAAGTATTGGAATTTTAATTCTGTTTTATTCATTTCTTTGCTGTGTAGCCTCGGGCCAGTGTTGATGGGATTACTTTTCTTGTCCACAACAGAGTAATATTGGTTACATTGTCAGTTTGAACATAAATGACATACTGTATGTCATGATCAGGTCATTAGTAGGTGGACTAAAAATTGCTGGTGTTGCTGATTTTTTTCATGATTAATGATTATCGTTAATTTCTTAAAGTGAATATTTTTATTGTCACTGATTTATTAAAAAATTGTGAAAAATAGCTTCCTGTTTGAGGTATAGGAAAAGGAGAAAAGTCATCCTGACAGAATAGAGAGTGAAAGATAGGGAGGAGTAGCCTTGATTTTTCTATTTTTAAGGAGATTCTTAGTCACTGATGCTCATTGGAGTCTGGTAGAGGAGCATAACAAGGTAATGGCAGCTGTCTAGATACTTCCTTTGCTTTACCTAAGTAGAAGAATGTTACTAACCTCCTCCATCCTTTATATTCTACTGAGCTGTATTCAAATTCTAATTTTATATCCCATAAGACGTTATTATCCTTTTGTATATTACTCATTTATAGTTACCCACATAGTTACTTGTCTCTTGTTCCCTAGTCAGTCCTTTCTCTAAGTCCTTGAATAAAGCCCCGTTCTTCTCTCTCCAGAGTTCCCTTTAGAACTTCTTTCCCTGCAGGCAAAGCAACACTGGTTTTGCTTATCTAGAAATGTCTTTACTTAGCTTTCAGTATTTGAAAGATATTTTTGGTAGTTATAGAATATTATGTTTAGTTCTAGAATTTTCACTTGATTTTAAAAACAGATTCTGGCACTAGGCGTGAAAGAGCACTTGCTCTGCATATACAAGGCCTTGAGTTTGAGCCCCATGGCTGAAACGAATAAGGAAAAAGAGTCTGTCCTCACCTGTGTGGTGAAATTCCACATTCTAGCATGGGTCTTCTTGCACCTTTCCTCATTTGGAAGTTTTTTGAATAATAATTAGATTGCTAACAACTCTGCAGGCTTTTCTCCCTCTTGGCAGGCTCACTCTGACAGTTTCATGGGCTTCCCAGTCTCTTGTCCAGGTTGACTTGAGTAACTCAAATAATGTTGTGATCACCTCAGAGACATTCCTGTCTTTCCAGATCTGGGAGCCTCATATCCTGGTTGTCGTGAAAACTCCAACTATTCTTTTACCTGTTCATAAAAATCAGCATTGGCTTGCTATAAGCCACTTTGCCTAACCCAAGGCAATAAATCCTCAGTTCATTTTCTTTGTATTAAAAATGTTTCCTGCATGACATTATGCAACATTCTAACGTTTAATACAGAAATAAAGAGTATATACAATGGCAAGTTTAGCGATTAGACTACTTGAGTAAATGGAAGTACCAGGTTTCATTTGCTTTAGATGTCAGCATTTTCCTTTCTCCCGCTTAATGGCTTTTAAAATTTTAGTGACAGCGGTATTTAAATTATAAATTTGAGTAAACATCATTGGTAGTAAAAAATTAATAAGCAGCTATTATTTAGATTTTAAATTAAAAGGAGACTGAATCCGTAGATTTACAGTGAACTCACAGGATCCCAGAAAAATGCATTGTTAGAATCAGCATGAATACAATGTCTGAAGCAAAGCTTTTACAAATGTCATAGTATGCCTCTTATTTCATGTTTACTTTCTCTTGACTAATAAGCTTTATTTAAACATCTTTTTTTGTGCCGGGGGTTCGAACCAGCAACCCCGGGGAGGTGATGATTGGGGATGAGTAAGCACGCCGTTCACCAGCCCACAGCGCCCCCATTACCCAGGGACACTCAGACGCAACGGGGAGTCTAGTCAAGCAGGGACTCATTTATTGAAGGCTTATAAAGGCAGCTGGAACTCCCCTCTCTCGCCTGAGGGTGTATCTTAAGGATGGTCACATGCTGATCATGCACTTCTCAGCAGTGCGGAAGTATTCTTCAGACTTTGAAAGCAAGCCAGGCCGAGCCCCCAGTAACTTCCTTTCAGACCTATGCTTTGGATCATTGTGGGAAAAATAAAATTGTGTTTTAAACTATGCTTGTTTATATAATATTTTATAAATATAACCATAAATATAACTAGACATACAACTTCTACAATTAAAATTTTAAGTTAGTTATTAACATAAAAAAGAACTCATACAGATGACAAATCCAGAATTACTAGTAAGATGCCTAGATTCCCTTCTTCTTTAAGTCTTTATTTACTTATTATAGTAATTGCCCTTTGGAGAGGGAATGTTTTTACTAACACCTGTAATGGGAAATCCTACTTAATAGTCAAAGATAAGGACTGGAGAGATGGCTCAGCGGTTAAGAGCACTGGCTGCTCTTATAGAGGACCCAGGTTCAATTCCCAGTGCCCAGATGGTGGCTAAAAACCATCTGTAACTCCAGTTCCAGGGGATCTGACACCCTCTTCTGACCGCCATGGAAATTGCATGACACAGGCACAACTACCTATGTGCAGGCAATATACTCATACACATAAAATAAAAATAATAAATATTTAAAACTTAAGAATAAAGGGCCAATATTTGACTTACTTTTCTTATTTTCTTCTCTGTGGTAGTTCTAAAAATGTGCCTCTGATGGACTCCAACTACAGGAAGCTCAAATGACCAAGGGCCCAGCTGTCGTGCTCTGAAATCCTTGGTTGATTTTGAGCTTTGGGGCTTGCATTTGGCCAATGTCTGAGAAGAGCTGACTCCTGCCTGGGACAGCACTCTAACTGACTAAAACCTCCCTGAGAGACTCATTGAATCTTCCAGACAATACAGCAACCCAGAGTGTAACCCTCCAGTCTCCCTTGCCTCCCTCCTCCTCGGAAGGCAGATTAGTATTGTGTTGTCAGTGCCCCTAGCCTTCCCTGGCTCCCTCTGGATTTTACCTTACAGAAATTTTCCTTCATGAACTTCTTTCTTTCTCAGGCTGTCTTAATTTCTGTTTCTTACACATTCTCCTATTGTTTCTACAAGATGATACTATCATGAAATTTCTCAAGAGAAAAGGATGTTTACAATAGTATTAATTATGGTAATAGTCTAAACTTGATAAATTCTAAGTTTAGAGTATTAAAACTTACTGCAGCGGAGTCTCTCAGAAATTTTTCTTTCTGTTAAATTATTGATAGTTTGTATGTAAACATGCCTTCAGAAGGATTTTGAATTGTTAATCCAATCAAGAATTCATATTCCAAAACAATGCTAATTGGTTTAGGATGATTGGATGGCTGTGAAATACATTAAACAAAGACTAAACTCATCTTTGAAATAGCTGAGGATATTTAATCAGAATTAGGTTATATTTCTGAGAAAAGCAGGCTAATTCATTATAATAGCAATAAATTTGTTTGTTGTAAATATTTGGAAATTCTCATTTTCTTTTTGTGTGACTTATATCACGGCTTATATTTTATGTTAGTGTTAAAATTCTTTTATTGTCCTTCACAGAACCAGAGTGAGAGATTTGTTTTCATTGCAGAGTGGTATGATCCAAATGCTTCACTTCTTCGACGCTATGAGCTTCTGTTTTACCCAGGAGATGGATCTGTTGAAATGGTAAATAAGGGGCTGGGGATCTGGCTCAGTGGGTAAAGTGCTGGCTATGGAAGCATGAGAACCTGTGTGTGATCCCCAGGACCCAGGTAAAAGCCAGGCATGGTAGTGCATCATGGTGGCGCATGCATGTAATCCTTGCACTAGGGAAGTGGAGACAGGTAGATCCCTGGGACTTGCTGGCCAGTAAGTGTAGCTGAATTGGTGGTGAGGTTCAGTGTTTTAAAAAGTAAGGTATTTAGCTCCTGAAAATGATACCTGAAGTTCACCTTTGGTCTTTATGCATGTGTATGCACATGTCTACCCATAGACACAGGAACACACACACACACACACACACACACACACAGAGTGATAAATGAGCCTTAGTTTGCTTAAAAGTTGGCAAAATGGGTGCAGGTGGGCCATGGAGAAGAGTAAAATTGCCTTTTTATATGGTTAACTTTGAAATTACATTTGAAGATTTTTTTTTTTTTTTTTTTTTTTTTTTTTTTGGTCTTTTTGAGACAGGGTCTCCTTGTAGCCCCAGCTGTCCTGGAACTCACTATGTAGACCAGGCTGACCTTGAACTCACAGAGATCCGCCTGCCTCTGCCTCCCAAGTGCTGGGATTAAAGGCATGTGCCACCATGCCTGGCTGAAGATATATTTTTATAGAATCCTTTTTCTTGGTACTCATTAGAATACAAATAGAAGAAGAAGATAACTTTGTTTCCATTTCTTTCTTTCTTGGACGGAGTCTTACCACATAATCAAAATTGGATTTTTGCTGGCAGTCCTTTTGCCTCATCTCAAGTAGGGATACAAATATTCACCACCATACTAAGCTCTGTTGCAGAGTTCTAGCAATGTATTTTGCAATTTTTAGTATTGAAATTATAGGCACAATCCAAACATGGTAACACTTGACTGTGATTCTGGCACATAGGAGGCTGAGGCAGGAGAATCACAAGTTAGAGATGAGCCTGGGCTGCATAGCAAGACCTTGTCTCAAAACAAACAGGGCTAACAAGTGGATAGTAACACTCCAGTGGAAGCTTGAGAACCTGAGTTAGACTCCTAAGCACTCACATAAAAGCTGGGCATTGTTGTATGTGATGATAACCTGTGTATGGGGGAGCAGAAATAAGTAGATCCTGGGAGCTCTCTGGCCACCTAGTTTAGCCCAAACAGCAAACTTCAGGTTCAGTGAGAGACACTGTGTTAAGAGAATAAGGTGGAAGGTGACAGAGAAAGACAGCTGACCGCCACCTCCAACTGCCTCATGTACTTACATGGGCATGCACATCTTCACACACATGCATACAGTATTACACACACACACACACACACACACACACAGACGCTACATATACAGACACAGAAAAACTCCAAACTGAAGTGGAACACTTGGTGTTTGGTATTAAGCAATGTTTGATACATGGTTATAGATAAAAGGTTATTATGGTTCCTGGGTAAGTTCCACCCCACCCACTTCACCTTGACTCCCCCAGCCTTGAATCTCTCACCTCATCTCCCCTCCTATTGTGGCCCGGTACTGACCTATTTCTTCTCTTGGCACCCCAGATCTCTGGACTGCTGTCTTGGCCCAGGCTCCCCACTGCTTACTGATCCTTTGTACTCAGACCAACCCAATTCCTCCCTCTAGTCTCCAGGAGCCCTCAGGGCATGTTCCCTCCCCCACCTTCCTTTGGATCCTGGGTGGCCCAACCCCCTAGCTTCCTGGGGTCAGCATGTTTCCTGGGTAAGTTCAGCCATGCCCATTTGGCCTTGACTCCCCCAGCCTCATTCACCCTCCCAGCTCCCCCATCTTATCTCTCCTCCTATAGTAGGCACTGGCCCATTTCTTCTCTTAGCACCCCAGACCTCTGGACTGCCCTCTTGACCCAGGCTCCCCACTGCTTCCTGACCCTTTGCATCCAGACCAACCCAGTTCCTAGGTCTAGTCCCCTGGCATCCTTGGAGCCTGTTCCCTCCCTCACATCACCTTTGCATTTCTGGGCACCACAGCCACCAACTTCCTGGGGCCAGCTTCTTTCCTGGGTAAGTTTGGCTGTGCTCATTGCTCCTTGACTCTCCCAGCCTTGTTCACCCTCCCAGCTCCCCCACCCCATCTCTTCTCCTAGGGTGGGCACTGGCCCATTTCTTCTCTTGGCACCCCAGACCTCTGGACTACCCTCTTGGCCCAGGCTTCACACTCCTTCCTGATCCTTTGTACTCAGACCAACCCAATTCCTCCCTCTAGTCCCCAGGAGCCCTTGGGGCCTGTTCCCTCCCCAACCTGGCCTTTGCATGCCTGAGACAGGCCCTGGTCCCAGACTAGTTCAGCTCCCAACTTCCTGAGGTGAGCATTTTTCCTGGAGGGATCCAGACCTTAGGAGAAAGCCTGAGAACATCTGATCCTCATTCAGCTTGGGCCTCTGTGGGAACTCCTGAGCAGCAGGATGAAAGCCATCTGGCCCTCCAATATAAAATCAAAGGAGAGAACCTGAAGCGTAGACAGCCAGCTCTTCATGCCCAACAGATAATCACAAAGGCACAGAAAGTTTACAAAAAGAAGCAGACCTAAACCCAACAAAGAAAGGCTTGAGTCTCACAGAAGAATCAGAAACTACAAAAGAAATCTGCATGTCAAAGTCACAGCGAAACATAATAACATGAAAAACCCAAATAACATATACCCACCAAGTACCAACAGTCCTGTAGAGGAGTACAGTGAGAACCCCCTAGAGGACATGGAATTCAAAAGAAGAGTTTAAAACATGATAAAAGATTTCAGTGAATTTAAAGGACACATAAAGAAATCAAAGAACTGAAAGAAGATAGGGATAAACTGGAGTTAGAAATATTGAAGAATACTTAGGCTGAAATGAAGAAGGAAGTGAAGCACTCAATACTCCAATTAGAAATGACAGGAGAAAGCCTCACCAATAGGATGAATAAAATGGAAAACAGAATATCAAGACTGAAAGATAAAGTGGACAAATTGGACCACTCAAGCAAAGATTATGACAAATTTAAGAAAACACAAGAATGGAAGGAATATTCAGGAATTTTGTGACACCATAGAAAGACCAAACTCTTATACATCATTGGCATAGAAGAAGGAGAATAATATCAGGATAATGGTATGGACCAGATCCCCAACAGGATTGTAGAAGAAAATTTCTCAAAATTAAAGAAAGACATGCCCATATAAATACAAGAAGCACACTGAACACCAAATAGACAGGACCAGAAAAGAAATTCTCCATGGTACATCACAGTAAAAACACTAAACATACAGAACAAAGAGAGAATACCAAAAGCTGCAAAAGAAAAACAACAAGTCACATATAAAGGAAAACCCATCAGAATTACAGCTGCAAACTATGAAAGCCAAAAGAGCCTAGACCAAAGTATTTCCAGTTCTAAATGACCACAGATGCCAACCCAGGTTACCCAGCCAAAATGCCTATTATAGTTGAAAGGGAAAGAAAAATCTTCCATGACATAAATAGGATGAAAGAATTCATGTCCACAAAACCAGCCCTTCAGATAGTCCTTGAAGCAATACAAAGAGCTGAAGAAAGGAACAACTATACCCAAGGGTACAGAAAGAAACTCAATGAAGGTATAATTGGAAAAGTACAGCTAAACCAAGAATGCAAACAGAAATCAAAACGACAGGAATCAGTATACATCTTTTGTTAATAACTTTAAATATCAATGGACTGAACACCCCAGTCAAAAGACACAGACCAGTTGAATGGATTAAGAAACAAAACACATCTATTTTGTGGTCTGCAAGAAACCTATCTCACTTTCAAGGACAGGTACTACCTTAAGGTGAAAGGGTGGAAAAAAAATTCCATGCAAATGGTACTAAGAAAAAAGCAGGCATTGCAATTCTAATTTCTAACAAAATAGACTTTGAACTAAAAATAATCAGAAGAGACAAAGAGGGCCACTTTGTTCTGATCAAAGGAACAGTTGACCAAGAAGATATTACAATCATGAACACATATTCACCAAACTCTGGTGCACCCAACTTCATAAAATAAGTACTGCAGGACTCATTAATAGTGAGGGACTTCAGTACCCCATTGTCTTCATTAGATAGGTCAACAGGACAGAGAATCAACAAGACATCTGAATTAAACAATAGCATATATCAAATGCCCCTAACAGACATCTACTAAATATTCCACCCAAGCACCAAAGAATATACTTTCTATTCAGCATGCCATGGAACTTTCTCTAAAATTGACCACATACTGTGGCACAAAACAAACCTCAACATATACAAAAAGATTGAAATAATTCCATGCATTCTATCAGACCACAATGCAATAAAGCTTATAGTCAACACCGGAAG